CTGCAGTGCTAAAACGGCCGCATTGGCAGAATCATAATATGATTGATTGACAATTCATATTATGTATTTTCAAACAAAACAAAAAAGAAATTAATCTACTTAGTGATACTAATAATAATAATACATTTATTTCAGAAGTTCATCCATATTCTTATAGTAACAATAATCTTATCAACTATATTAGTATAGGAAATGAAACTATTTTTCCGGATTTAATATATGACTAATTAGTATGTAACCGGACTGATATCTACAACTATCAGTTTCTTTGTGTCTTAACGTTGAGCGACATCTATCCGCCAAAAAAGGAATTTCAGTACCTACGCATGGATATGTTCCACATTTAGTTCACGTAATATCAAATGTTCGACCGAGTTGTAATAATAACAATTTATTTCAGACTTTTTTGTCCATCTATGGTTAGTATTCAGGTGATCATATGACTAATGTTAGTATTACATGAGTGCGTGCAATCGCGACCAGTGTGCGAGCGTGGGTGAGTTCTCGCGTTCCAATTCCGTTCAAGCGGCGCATAAGTGAGGCACACCTCTTGCGCTTTATCCCGCGAAGCTGTCAGTCCGCGCCTTCACGAACTTACCAGAGGCACTACAAAAACGTGACAACCCTGTCAACACCAAGAACGCATTGTTATACTGAACGCGAAGGGACTGGCAGTACGCATTAAAAAATATAACCTTTACCTGCTCGGTATAGCGCTCGAACCTGCGAGCCAGCATATTGTATCGGACAACCAACGACCTACGCTCCCTCTCGATATGTAAATCATCACTCAGGACTTCCGTTACCTAGTGACCCAAGTACTTGAATTTAGTGACAAAGTTCAAAGGGACACCATTGGTATGTACAATGGAATGACGAATTATGTCAGCTTTAAAAATAACTACTTCGCTTTTGTTGACGTTGTACTTAAGTCCATGGTCAACGGCATACAACTCACATATTTTTGTCAACTTCCTCATCGCGTCAATCGAAGGGCCGAGCAGCACCGTGCCATCTGCGTAGCTAAAATTGTTTATGGCGCTTCCATCAATATGACAACCGTAATAGGTACGCTCAGTTCCACGATAAGTTGATTGACATACAAATTAAACAGTTCGGGGGAAGACAGCCCACCTTGCCTCACCCCGCACTCCAAAGTATAGTAATTCGAAACAAAGTTACCCCGTCTCACAAAATTGCTTTGATGACTGTACCAATATTGAAATAAAGTTATCACTTCCCTACGTACACTAGTCTCTACATAATTTGTCGCATAATATTCATAAGACACGAGGTCAAAGGCCTTAGGCAAATCTAAAAAAACACCATAGACAGGAGTGTTCCTACTTAGTAAAGTACTGAACGGTATTCTTGAGGACCAGGATGGCGCTCTCGGTGGACAGCCCCATCCGAAATCCAAATTGGGAGCCATTTAAAATCAGATGCTCATCGAAATGACCATCAAGTAGACCGTCCAACACTCTAGCAATGATGGTAGCTAGGAAGATTGGCCTATAGTTCGAAATATATGAGGCATCACCATTTTTGTTCTTAACAATAGGAACCGGGACAGTATGCATAAGATCGTCAGGCAAGTAACAGTGACTAAGACATAGACAAAAAAACATGGCAAATACAATAAGCTAATAACTACTTCATTACAAAAAATAAAGTCGATAATTTCTTCTCCAAAATACGACGCGAGAAAATGGTAAACTGACAAAAAGTTCCCAAAATCAGGGATTGATGGCAGATTTCACAAAAAAATAAATACTGCTGCACCGTAGCATTGCTCTTTACCTTTTACCGACAGAGCTACGGATCCTGTTGCCGAGCCGACGAAATTCTCCGATGTGTTTTTATTATAGATCTTTGTACTAGCTTTCGGCGTTCGTTGCCGCTAGTTATATTTATTATATACAGGGTGCCAGGTTGAACGAGATAAATATTTAAAGAGGCAAACGAGTACCAGATATCTAATCCGAATATGTAAAAAGAATCGTCTCTGAAACAAAAAATGTCGTGCCATTTTACAAATACTAACCCACTCTTCATTTGGGCTACTCTATGAAACAGACCAGCTGAGCGGTAGGGAGCGGTAGGGAGCCTGTCACCCTGTATGTTTATCACAGACCACATGTTTATAGTTCTTATTATTTCGTAGATTTTACTTATTGTTTAGTAGATGCTAACATTTATTCATTTACTACTGTCTGAACTGCTGGCGTAAATTTGCATTCTGTGTAACTTGACTTTAGTCATAAATACGGATTGGCTTTAGTCTGTATTGTACAGTAGTATAAATAAAATAAAATTAGTAAAACAAAAAACTGAAAAAATTTGAAGGTTAATGTCAATATTTAGTATAAATTATTACTCCATGCAGTCACTATCATTCACAAGATTTGTGGTTTATGAAATGAAGTACAATGATTATGTCCACGAAAATAACAGTACATTGCCACAGCAATTAAACATTAATAAGGTGATTTATTTCCAGTATGTTGGCGAAACAGGAAAGGGCGACTCCTATCTAAGCGAGGTAATGCGAATAAAGATACACGGAAAGAATCACAATGGCGAATCCAAATATGTCCAAGTAATTCTTAAAACCATTCCCAAGAGCCTGTCGAGACGCCTCACGTTCAGAAGCGATGAATTCTTCAGAAATGAAATTAATTTCTATGAAATTGTTCTACCTGCTTTACTAAAATTCCAAACGAGTAAAAACGTCACTGAACCTTTCACGAACTACGCGAAATTATTCTTAAGCTACTGCGATGGTACAAACGATGTACTATGCCTTGAAGATGTAAGTACGGAGAATTTTGGAGGCACAGTAAGACAAGAAGGTATCGACATTGATCATTGCAGACTAAGTTTCAAAATCTTAGCACAATATCATGCTATATCCATTGCAATGAAAGAACAGGAACCGGAAACATTCGAAGTATTGAAAAATATTGTTTTTGAAACCTACTTCGACGACAGGCTATGGGAATGGTACGAACGTTTTTGGGAAAAGATATTTGTCACAGCTATCGATGCTGTTGAAAAAGAATATCCAAACACTCGTTATGCAGACGTAATACGAGAATTATCTGATAAAAAGCACTACAAGGACATGGTCAAAGCAACAAGAACGCATGAGACCGGTGTGATTTCACATGGTGATTGTTGGACAAATAACTTTCTTTATAAGTACCAAAATGGGAAACCAGTTGATTGCAAGTTGATTGATTTTCAATTAACTCGATGTGCAAGTCCAATACTAGATATTTCATTTGCTATTTATGCTTGCACTACTCAAGATATGAGATTGAAACATTATGATGGTTTATTGAAGTATTACCATGAAGTGTTAGCCAAACAAGTTAAGGAGATGGGAAGTGATCCAGATAAACTATATTCTTTAGATATGTTTATGGACGAGATCAAAAAGTATTCTTATTTTGGACTAATGCACAGTTTAGAATCGACACCTTTCATAATTTTGGATCCCGAAGACGCTTTTAACATGGAAATGGAGGTACCTTGTATTTAGCCTTGTAGTTATCTAACTTATCTATTAGATTAGTTTTTTAATTTAAAAGTAAAAGAACAGTGAGTATAGTTCTTAAGTTTTCGCGATTGTTACACATAGGAAATGAAACTATTTTTCATGGGACCTGTAAAAGGCCCGAAACGTCGGTTTGTTTAAAAAAACACATATACGCGATTTAAATCCGGAAAAATAGTATCATTTCCTAACAGTGAGTAGTTTCAAAATATGGTTTGCAGTTGTTCTTTTCACTGTACTAATTGCTCTAACATATCGTTTTAGTAGTTATAATATGTTTTTTTGTTTTATGTTCCGCGATAACTCATTTGCGAACCGATTTTGATGATTATTTTTGTCGATAAGAGGGTAATTCAGTATTGGTCCCATTTAAATTTGACAAAAATATTCTACCTCTAAGGGTGGCAAACTAGGAGATGAATTCGGTTTCGCGCACTTTACGGTAACCGATTTCATTAAAACTTGACATACGTAATTCCATGAACTTTTCAGGTCGATTTTTCTGTGTGAAATAAAATTCTTGATTTTTTTTATAGGAATACCTACAAACAAATAAAATAAAAAATAACGCACACACACAACATAGCCCCGAACTAAGAAAACCCTGTGTCGCAGGTGCCATGGACACACACATAGACAACCACAAATTACACCCAAACTCACGAGCGAAATAAATGTAGGCCATACAAATATTTCTCCCGGCCCGGGAGTCGAACCTGGGAACCACTCTGCGTGGCAGTCCACCATGGTAACCGTTCGGCCACACAGGCAGTTAAAATGAGAATCTTCGGAACAAAAACATTGACTCTAATCTTTTTCAGTGGGATGGTTGTGTTGTTCCGTGCATTTGAAATATATTTTGAAAGCTAGTTTCACGGTTGCTGTTCAGATTGAATAAAAATGAAAACAAAATGAGACTAGCGGGTTTTGTTCCGATGCTCCTCAAATGACAAAAATTATATGATTTACCCATTGACTTACAATTATATGGACGTCGGGTCCGCGCTTAAAAGTGTCCGAACTTATAGGGCGTTAAAATCGTATACAGAGCGTCATTCACGCTTTAGTCTTCGTTTGTTCGACTGACAGCGAAGCAAGCAAAATTAGACAGTACTGCGATGACATTACAATTTAAATTCAACGTTTTAGCTTTTTCATATTCCTTTACATGTCACTACGTTTAAATAGGTTGACTTGGGACATTTTTTCGTGGTTTTTGTATTATACCCGTCGTCCATTTATTTGTAAGTCAATGGATTTACCTTGACGATCTACTGAGTGAGTCTGTGACGTTCATGTTTTAAGACAACACCATTTTTACATCTAAACATAAACGTCAAATAATTAAAAATCCGAACACAAACAACACTCCGATATTTGTCCAAACAAATAATTGGTTTTACAACTTGTGCTTACGTATGTACTCGTGTCATGCTGTTATTCATAATGGCTTTTCGTCATTCACATTGGATTTTGATTGACTGATAATACAACTAATAACAAATTAACACAGACGTCAACTTACACGAAACAACTTTATTTCATTACAGGGTGATCAAGAAATGAACATCGCGGATATATGGAAAATAAAACCGATCAAAACAAAAGAGGGCAGACTACGTGAGGCCAATAATCTAGTATTTTGCGTTGATAGGGGATATGTACCTATAACTATGTAAAATTCTACACGACTTGTTCCCTTATATAGTTTGTTAATTTGAGCTCTGTGCGAGTATTTATATTAAACATTCATTTATTTTACTTTCTTTCTTTACACCATATCAACATCCTTAGTTGCACTGTGAAAATTTGACAGTTCTCTCAAGGCGATGTAGATTTCCGAGAGTACCAAAAATCATGTATTAGGTGGCTACCGGTATGGTACACTCCACCTGATGGGTGAGATGTCCGTGGTCCACAGGTGGTGCACCTAGAGATGAAAGTATTAATAATACAACAACGTTTCAAATTAAATTGAATGAAAATCCGATTTGAAAAAAAGTTAGAAAAAAAACTATTTTATTGCTGTACGGATGAACGTATTTTTTATATATTATTGTAATTGTTATTTGTTTTATTTCATAAGTAAGTCTGACCTACATGAGAAGCACCTTCTCACTGCTAGGTACCTAGTTAATCGTTAAGTATATCTATAATTCTGGGTAACCTATCACAAAGTCGAAAACTTTTTGTCCGAAATAACGTTTGTTCGAATTTTCGAACGAGGTTATGAAAGTTCGACAATACGTTATTTCTGGAAAGTGTCATTTCGGATTACTGATAGGTAACTATAATTCTGTAAGAGCGTGATCGCCAACAAACTGTTTTCGGAAGATAGACTTTTGTAAAATGCATACTTTTGAAAAATAAATAAATTTAAAAGAAAATCTTTTTTACTTCCTAAACTTTTTTTTCACTCAGTTTGATATGAAACAAAAATTACCCTTACAAAATGGCATAAATACAAATAATAATACGTATAATAAACTACCAGTTAATGTATCCGATTCTATTAATTAACTCTATTAATAAATTAAGTTATTAATTAATTCTAATAATATCTAAATAATAAGTTGTCAAAATTTTTTGAAACTTTATTAATTTATTTGTATCAGTGTTGTCATCTGTTAACTTATTGTTACCTCATACAGTAGGAAAACCAGAGCCTCCCTACGAGTGTCATATTAAACGCACGCGTTTAATGTTAAAATTTTGGATATTCCTAGTTTTATTTTTAAAAAGCTATTAATGTCGACTTATTCATTAGGTAACATACTTTCGATATCAGTTTAAATCTATTTGATATGTCTTATATTTATGGAATAATCACCTGGGCACACTTAACGATTACACCTTGTATATACGGTAGCCCGTCTGGAAGTTCTTGAATCTATTTCGCAATCGGGGACGTCGCTGCAGAGACAAGATGTGTAAATGAGGTTTCAAGGATGCTAGTCTAGCCTGTTGTGACTGTGGTACACCAACACAATTCATGCAGCTCTTGATCTTGTGCCCTAATACTTGTACGAGAGAAGATCTCTACGCGGCTAGCGCAGTCACGTTGTTGCTACATTTATTCAAATTCTTAGAATACGCCTATAAATTTTAAAGAGCAATACAGCACAACAACATTTCGAGGGCTATTAGTACTAGGAGAATTTATACCACAACCGCGGAAACAGTCCAGTTTTTATCCTTGCGCCCGTCGTCCTAAGATATAGAGCCATCCCACGGCTATGCCACATGAAGGGAAAGTACCATAAATATAATATAGAACATTTACTGAAAGAATACTTCATTTTGATTTTAAATACTATTTTTTTTTAAACTATATAAACTAATCATCTTTTCTAAGTCCATTTAGTAATTTTAGTTTGTAAGCACCTACAAATTTACGTAATGAACACGCTTTGCATACTTGTACATGAGTAATTAATTACTATCTACATATTTGAAGTGTTTATTACTAAAACTAAGTAAGTACACATATTATGTACCAATAAGAACTTGTATATACATACATACAAGATATGACGAAATTTTAAGTACAGTGTAGGTACATATATACACTTTACTTACTCCCTCGTATTTGGACTAACGTTCTTGATTTTGGTGTGACGACGTATTATTTATGACAAAGCAGCACGGGCCGAGCAAGAGAAGCGAGCGTGTCGCGACATCGGCTGGCGAAGGCCAGAAGCCAATTTGCTTGCGTTTCCGAACATGTTCTCAGGTCAAATTTATATGTATAACATCAGTACCTATTCAAACATTTACCCAGTTTTAAAAATAAATATCTAAGGCGATTAACACACAGCACCGCGACACGTGAATCGCGCGCGATGGTGGAGACGCAGATCTGCGTCAACGCGCGGTTTAATCTGCGCGGGGGCAGCCATCTAGCAGCCCCGTGCCACTTAAAGCATCCAGATAATTCATCGCCGTAGTGATTGTACACGTAGCTGAGATCCTTCTTTGACAAGATTGGTTAATAATACAGAACTCATTCAGGACGCTGCAGTTATACTGTCAATTTGGTTTTTGTTTACTCAAATAAAAAGACACCGAAGATATCAGATACATCCCTTTTTACGAACCAGGTCGATAAATTAATCGTTTCAACGTCATTACAAAGATTTAAGAAAATATAAATTTTTCCATTTCTTATTTTGAGACCAATGCATAAAGCTATCAAAGTTAATTTATACATAATTATCAAACATTTTTTGCGTAGTTAAAACAGATTAACATTAACAGATTAAAATATATATTGATTTAATTTATTCATGTCTCAGAGAAAGCGGATCAATCATTAAAAAAGATGACCGTTTAGATTTTCTCGCCTGCTGCTTTTGCAAATTTAAAATAATCATTTAAAAACACATACAATACTTGTAACTACATCTAAAAATATAATTTTATTATTGTATTTGATATGAGAATACACCCTTCCGACATGTTATTTTTGACGTGTCACCAGTATTAAGAATAGTCCCCCTATACGCTATTTATATGACGTGTCCTGAATACGAAACTAAATTTAAAACATGCTTAATTATATTGAAATATATGCCGACCATCTATTCTCAATTTTGTCGTTTAATCTAGTTAGCTGTTTCCTGTACGGCTCCGAAAGACCGCTTTTTGCAGTATTCGTCGATTTATGCAGAATGTATTAATCGATTGTCAGCAAATAAAATTATAAAGTCATACAAAATTTAGATCACAATTCTTTAATTTTGAGGTGAAATTCAAAACATAAAACCGAACTATTTTCACAACGGGACACCTTTAAATAGCTGTTCCATAAACTTAGGTTCAGTAAGAATATTTATAATTTGCTTGGTTTGAAAGATGGTCATTCCTTGTGTCGCTACGCCTACACCCACCCCGCCAATGCTCCGTAAAGCTTTGACTATAAATGAAACATTCAAAAGGTGACATTGGCAGATACAACAACATTTCATTCTAAGCTGCTTATGTTTGTATTGTTTTACTGTAAATTACAAATGTTCTGTTTGCAACAAAATAAAACGTCTCGTTATGAATAATGAAGATGTTGAATTTACAACATGTATTGCAATAAGCTTCAGCAATGTTCTGACTATTTTTTAGTAATAATTTGGCAACACTTCTTAAACTATTATTCTAATACAGATTCTAATATATACTTTGCTGATTTCCGGCTGTCAAAACACAGTAATAAAATCTAGCGGAACAAATTGAATCGTTACATTGTTCCCAGTATTGTCGCAAAATCTTATTGTGAATTTTTAGTTGTTTATTAAAACTTGTTCTTTTAACATTTCCGGTAAGTTTTTTTCAAACATGGACTAATTTAAAATAATGCATTGTCTCAAAATCATTTTGAATTGTTTACATTATATCGGTCTGTTATTCGTTTGTTTCTATCGAATTAATTAATTCTTTTTAATGAAACACAACACATATTACAGGTGTTGGTGCACCTGTACGCAGGTTAGCAAATATTAAATATAAAATTAAAGTTTAATTTTATTTTTTCATTTTTCGTAGTGATTTATATCTTCCTGCATTTCGGTTTCTCCATTTCCACCGCTCAACCAGCATTCTCATTGCCCTGCGATCTCAAAATATATACCTAACCATTACGTTAAGACACAATATTCTATTACATAATATTTAACTTGACTGTGCTTTCATCTTTATTGCACATTCATAATCATGATGAGAATCTCAAATTAATCTCAATTCATCAATCAGGTTGTATGTACGGGCGGTATAACTGGTCTGAAAAAATGGATCTTGTTCTGTTGCACTGGGGGTGATTTTCAAATAAAAGTGTGTAACTTGACTGTACTTTTCTATAATAAAAGAACATATTATATGGTAAAGGCATTGACTTACAATTATATGGACGTCGGGTCCGCGCTAAAAAGTGTCCGAACTTATAGGGCGTTAAAATCGTATACAGAGCGTCATTCACACTTTAGTCTTCTTTTGTTCGACTAACAGCGAGGCAAGCAAAATTAGACAGTACTGCGATGACATTACAATTTTTTATTCAACGTTTTAGCTTTTTCATATTCCTTTACATGTCACTACGTTTAAATAGGTTGACTTGGGACATTTTTTTCATGGTTTTTGTATTAGACCCGTCGTCCATTTATTTGTAAGTCAATGGGTAAAGGAATGAAACTAGAAGATGAGTAGCACTGTCTAGGCACTTGCCCATTTGTTATACAAGTTTTAATATTTCTTCAATTCCAGATAGTCTGTTACTTAATCTATTACAGTTTTCTATTATTATTGTTATTCTCACCATTATTACTAGTAATTATGTAGCCTTGGGCAATTTACAGACTAGCCATGCAAATACTGCTATTTTGGATTGCTTACATTACAAAAATGCATAGCATATTTAACCTTAAAATATAAACCATGTATCACTACAATATTCCCTGTATTGGTATCACATTCCCTCTCCTCATACAAATAACAAAATGTCCTTACATCCTTTTAAGATACACTTAGATCAAACAACTGAACAAAACATGTTAAAGCAACAAAAAGTCAATGATTCCCTACCCTTTTGCAAAGTAGATGCATTGTTTCAGAATAAATACACAATGTCTGAGGAAGACTATGCAACTCTTATTAATGTATCTCCTGTATTGACAAATGAGAGGCTTTCTGACGCTCTCACCAAGTGGTTTGCTGAAAATTTCACTTTCACCCATTGGGAGGTAAGTTCATTGATACAATTTAGTAGCAGTAGAGCACCTTGTGAAAGAGTTCATCCAGGTAAGTACTGCCACATTACCTATTTCTGCTGCCAAGCACTAATGTGAGCATGACTGCGTTTCGGTTTTGAAGGGTAAGGGTGCTGGTGAAATTATAGGCACAGGGGACTTTCCAACTTACGTCACAGGGTGATGGGCGCAGAGGCAGTGCACCTCAGATCTTTGAAATTTAAAGCTCTGATTAGCACTGCAACTGTTATGGACAGGCATGTATTTATATATGTATAGGCATATATATTTCCATTCTTATACAAGACACTGTAATGCACGATATTGTATTCCAAATAAAAATATGCATGTACACTTAGAGGCTCCATGGCCCATATCTTTGGCACCTGAGTTCATACAAATGTTTCGTATAAAGAGTACAGCACAAACACGGCACATTGTTGAACAAGTAATATTTTCTGGCGCCCTCTACTGGAGGAGTACTTTAAAAATGTGAAATAATTTTGAAAACAAAAAATTCTATTTCAATACTAAATTATTTAAACTCAAACAATTTTTTTATCATGGTAAGCAAGTTACACTTGAAATCGTCATTCGCACTCCTCATGGAAGAATGGCATAAGTCAGTTACGTCAAAAATGTTTATAGCCCCATTAGATTCTGAAAAATATAACCCACTTCCTCTCCAACTCTTGTTACTCTATCAACTAATATTGTAGAGTTACAAAAATTGAAAAGGATGTGGGTTATATTTTTCTGTATCTAATGGAGCAATAAACGTTTTTGATGTAACGCCACTTATGCCATTCTTCCATGAGGGGTGCAATATATTGATTAAAGGCAGATTCCCCTGAGAAGAATGAGCAAGAAACTCGTGAGGGTTGCTCTTTGTAAATATATAATTGTATAATATATGTATACATGTATACATATATGTGTACACATATTTATCATTTACAATTTTATTTCAAAAATCATAGACTACCTGTAAGAGCTAAATGGGTCACTATCATGAATTTTGTCATCCAAGTATGCAGAAGCTCTATAAAATAACCTTTAGTATAAAGTTATTGTTTCACTATAGTTTTAAACCTTATGAAAGGCAAATTTTTTATATCCACCAGATTCTTATTATAGAAGCGCATACATTGCTCCCCAATATGAATGTGACTTTGTGAATATGACTATCAAAAACTGCTAGTTTATTTTTATTACTTGTATTAATGTTGTGTCTGCCACTACTTTTCATAAAAAAATTACTATTCTCCTTAACGTAAATTACATTTTCATAAACGTACTGTGGTGCTAGTGTAAGTATGTAAATCTCTTCAAACTTATCTCTCAAAGCACTGCAGCCCAAATTTGAAATAACCCTACCCGTGATTTTATGTTAGGTTTATGGTTTATTAAATTAGGTGCGACAGTTTGATAATTTCCATGAAAATTAACCATAAGAGATGACCAAACAATGGAACATTAATGTGGTGATTTTTTTCCAGTATGTCGGCGAAACAGGAAAAGGCGATTCTTATCTAAGCGAGTTAATACGAATAAAGATACATGGAAAGAATCAAAATGGCGAATCCAAATACGTCCAAGTAATTCTTAAAACCATTCCCATGAGCTTGTCGAGACGTCTCACGTTCAGAAGCGATGAATTTTTCAGAAATGAAATTAATTTCTATGAAATAGTGCTACCTGCTTTACTAAAATTCCAAGCGAGTAAAAACGTCACTGAACCTTTTACGAACTATGCGAAATTGTTCTTTAGCTACTGCGATGGTACAAACGATGTATTATGCCTTGAAGATGCAAGCACTGAAAATTTCGTTAGTGCAGTAAGACAAGAAGGCATCGATGTTGAACATTGCAAACTAACTTTCAAAACTTTAGCACAGTATCATGCTATGTCCATCGCAATGAAGGAACAGGAACCCAAAAAATTTGATGTGCTGAAAAATACTGTTTTTGAAACGTATTATGATGACAGACTGTGGGATTGGTACGAACGTTTTTGGGAAAAGATATTTGAATTAGCTATTGATGCTGTTGAAAGAGAATATCCAAACACTCATTATATAAAAGAAATAAAACAATTATCAGATAAAAAGCACTACAAGGACATGATCAAAGCAACAAGAACACATGAGACAGGTGTGATTTCTCATGGTGATTGTTGGACAAATAACTTTCTTTATAAATACGAAAACGGGAAACCAGTGGATGCTAAGTTGATTGATTTACAATTAACTCGCTGTGCTAGTCCTGTACTAGACATTACATTTGTTATTTATGCTTGCACAACTCAAGATATGAGATTAAAACATTATGATGACTTATTGAAGTATTACTATGAAGTATTAGCCCGTCAAGTTAAGGAGATGGGAACTGATCCCGAGAAAGTGTATTCTTTGAACAAGTTTATGGAGGAAGTCAAGAAGTATTCTTATTTTGGACTAATTTTCAGTTTTGAGTCTACACCGTTTATTATTTTGGATCCCGAGGACGCTATAAACATGGAAATGGAGGTAATTCTTTATTGTAATTTGTAACATACGTTTTTAATTTATACTTACCTGTAGCTACAAAAAATTTTTAGATTTATGTGTTGACATTATCAAATTGGGGCGCTAAAACTCAACTCTTCATCAAACTGCCTTTGTGGCCGAATGGTTACCATACTGGACTGCCACGCACAAGGTGACCTAGTGCAGAGCTTTGAGTGTGTGCGTTATTTATTTATATTATATACCAGTACTACCATGTACTGAAAAAACTGCTGCCAATTATCATGTAGTCTATGGTTAGGTTATATACATTTTTGGAGGCTTCTGTGATATTTTCAAGAAGCAGAGCTAGCCGCTCATAATATTTATGGAGATTTTTTGAACAAGTTTTTTTTCGTACATAGTGATCTCTTTATGTAATTAAGAACGCAATTTCTCAAATAATTTCAACAAACTTGAAATACATATAATAGAGCACAAACTAAACCTATATAAGCCAATACATACTGTTTGATACAAGTCAATCCAAGTACACACATCGTTATGATAAGATATATCTCGTTTAATCTTTCCGCTGATAAAACATCTTACAAGACTAACTTAAAGAACTCTACATAATAATAATCAATGGTTGGAAAATGGTATTCCAAATGATTAGATAAATGTCTATGTAAAGATACAAGAAGTGGCATAGAGTGGTTTGAACCACGAAATATTAATTACGTTTTCAAATTCTGGATTTCCGAAAACAGATTTTACTACACCGTACATTGACTTACAATTATATGGACGTCGGGTCCGCGCTAAAAAGTGTCCGAACTTATAGGGCGTTAAAATCGTATACAGAGCGTCATTCACGCTTTAGTCTTCGTTTGTTCGACTGACAGCGAAGCAAGCAAAATTAGACAGTACTGCGATGACATTACAATTTAAATTCAACGTTTTAGCTTTTTCATATTCCTTTACATGTCACTACGTTTAAATAGGTTGACTTGAGACGTTTCTTTCGTGGTTTTTGTATTAGACCCGTCGTCCATTTATTTGTAAGTCAATGACACCGTAAGATAAAACTACTCATATAGGAACCTCAAGTTGAATTTGAAAGTAATTCTAGTAGCGCCATGTAAATTCCATAACGATGTCTTACTTTCACAAACTCGTATCTTATAAAGAGTCATTATTCAGGAGATGGCAAAACTTTATATTTATATTCAATTTCTTATCAAGGGGGTTAATTTGGATGCATTACTATAAGAATGGTAAAAGCCAGTGTGTTATTATGAAAGAAATGTGATGTAAAATCGGCGTGCAAAATTTGTAGACAATCCATTTTTTCCATTTTACTAACTTTGTGCTTTAAGATACGAGATTTAGGGTCGTATTCTAGAACTCTACTCAATGCTCAAGTCAGGATTTGAGTATGGTTTAAAGCACCCAAAATCATACTCAAGTCCCTGCCATTAGGGTCGTATTTCCAGTGCTTGTGTTTCCAGTGCAATCCTAACTTGAGCATTGAGTAGAGTTCTGTTCAAGTCAGGACTTGAGTATTGCAGTGAGCACTGAAAATCATACTCACTTGAGTATGATTTTCAGTGCACCTTGCCGTTAGGGTCGTATTTCCAGTGCTTGAAATCATACTCAAGTCTGCTCAAATCCTGACTTGAGCATTGAGTAGAGTTTTGGAATACGACTCTGAGAAAGTAAGACGACGATAAGTAACTCATTGTACTGAAGCTGCCGTCATTTACAGAAGCTTCCGTTTCCATAATCTTGCATTCATCAAATAAAATAAAAAATGCTGTAGATAACTAACGTTTCACCAAAGTAAACATGTTTTAATAAGTGAGTAACAAATGCAGTAAAACTATTTCCGGAAGTCTGAAATTCGAAAAAGTAATCAATTAACATTGGTCGTTTTAACCGCTCCGTGTCACTCCCTATTCCGACCATTGATAATAAATAATTAATAATATAATAAAACACTACTGATTTACGTTCCATACACGTCATACTGCGTCGTGTGACGCAACGTGGGTGTCCGATGTCCTTCATGAAGGTCGACAAATGTTGAGTTGATACTCACCATAAATCAATTAAAACTCATATTGTGGCGGGATTCCAACCGCTCGATCCTCAGGGTACCATTGCATTTCACCCGTATATACTCCACAATATCCGCAGATTTTGTGGAGTAATGAAGCCGTGACACGTGTAACTACGTCGTCGGTTCCGCTGGACGCAATAGATGATTAGGTCCAGTATCGACTGATAGTGTATTTCTTTTTCTGTTCCAACTTTTTGAGACCGTATTCGTACTGGTCAACTCCTGTTGGTGGTACTGACGCGACGCCACAGCTCCAGATTATGAGATCTCGTTTCTTCTTATAAACAACATGGAACAAACATTGTTTCGATACCTCCAATGAACACTACGTCAACTTAATTTTTGGGCCTGTTCTGTTTTTATTTTGTTTTTGTTTCTTTATTTTATATTTCACAAATTTGTTATTTTTTTTTGAATTTTATTCTTTGTTTTTTTTCTCAAAATTTGGGGAGCATAATATTGGAAAATAATTAGTTAGGCAGTTTACGAAATTTAAAAAATTTTTTTTTTTTACTTATATGCTTTAGTTTGCCGATCCCATATATACATAGCCGAACGGTTATCATGCCGGTTTACCAGACACGCAGAGGTGCCGGCTTCGATTCCCGGGTCGGGAGAAGTATTTGTATGGTCTACATTTATTTCTCTCGTGTAATTTGTGGTTGTGTGCATCTGCGACACAGGTTTACCCTAGAGCGATGCTATGAGTGTGTATGTTATTTATTTGTTATTTATTTACATATAAAGCTATCTTAAATTCGCCCCCATTAATTGAATAATAATTCTGCAAATGACAAATTAACACCAATACCTTTTATTTCATTACAGGGTGATCAAAAAATGAACATCGCAGATGTATGGCGATTGAAACCGATCAAAACGAAAGAGGGCAGACTGCGTGAGGCCAATAATGTTATATTTTGTGTTGATAGAGGATATATACCTATAACTAATTAAAATTCTAGGCGATTTGTTCCCATTGTTCTGTTATACTCGTGATATTTATGCTTCCATAAACTTTGCGACGACTTTGATACATTGCAGTCAAAACAAAAATGAAAACACAGAATAATGCTTCAAATTATTTCTATGTATTTGGCATTGCAGTTTGAATTCCGATTATCCGATGGAATTAGGTATGTAACTACCCCAATATAGATAAATAACTTCATAAGTAATGTGTAAATAATCCTACTTCTCTTATAAGCATAATTTCTAGTAATCTAAATATAGAAATCATAAATTACACATTTATTTCATAATTTTTATCCATGTGTTGTATAACAATAAAATTGTTTTATCACGGTATATCACAATTCACGAGAGTGAGAAATATGAGAGAATTGACAAATTTTCACTCATTTACGATCATTGTAATTTCACGTTAATATCACCACTACAAGCATTCGTCTGTAAACTTTCATTATTTGCATCAGTTTCCGCATTTCAATTTTCTTTCTTTGCTACTAAGGTTGTTTTTGCCATGCTTGCAGTCTAGTTCCTCTTTTATTTTAAGATCGTTCCTCCTGTCAGGTGCGCCCTCTAGTGAATGCGACTTCGCGTAATGTATAATAGTCACATTTATAGCTCATATTGATACATGTATAGTATTTATGCATAAACTTTTGCAATAATCTTGGTACAGAGTACTAAAAAACCGACCTCAAAAGTTCGTGCAATTACATCTATTTGCCAAGTTTTATTAAAATCTGTTACCGGAAAGTGCGTGTAAACGGAAACATCCCCTAGTTTGCCAGTCTTAGATGTAGATATGTAGAAGTGTACTGAGGTACCCTCTTTTCAACGAAAAATAATTATCAGTATCAGCGTCCTGATTTTGATTCAAATCGGATGGGTTTCTGAGCGAGATGATGAACCTGATTCCTACTATATTTTTCTAATTTGTGAGTTAAATCAACTATTGTTCCGATTAGAAATGTCAAAAGTTTCCGATCGGCCTGTTGTGAATCGCAATTATGCGCCTCGACTCGGAAAAGACGCAGTTTCCGATCAGGAGGCAAATAAAATAAAGCAGCAGTTCACAAATGCCGTAAAGCTATCGCGTAAAATGTGTACGTACCTACACCATATTAGTGGTCCAATGCGAACTTGTCACACTTTAAAATCGCATCCTTGAGGCAATAGGGTCACTCACATCTTGTCGTAACCCATATTAATACAACTCTTGTCTTGTACTTAGCATAACTTACAATCACAACTCACGCCTGCCTGAACAGCCACATTTTTTTTAAGTGCTATAAATCATCATAATATCTTTGGATCGTTCTTTTCTTCTAAATAAATTAAATGAGTAAAGAGTAAAAAAAATTATAATCTGCAATGACTAATAATCAAGAAAGGTTTATAAAATTCTGCGAACAAAATTTATCGATATTTTTTATTTAAGTAAGAGTTATAAAATCGAATATAACATAATTTAATTTGTTTCATCTGTGTGCATGTGGTAAAAACAGGTGACGTATAATCAATCACGTGGCTTGTTTACGGTTTATTATGCCAAGCAAGGGTACGAAATGATTTGTCACGGTAATGACTTCATACAAAAGTTTTATGAATTTGCATTGTCTAGTGTGGCATGATAAATATTACATTAACATTGATAAAAAAAACTACAAAATATTACTGCCTATCGGGTTTATCTTGAAAGCTGTTTTGGATAGTAACATTAAAGGGCTGCGATAATATGAGTCGATTTGTGATAACGATATACAGAAACCGACAAAGTTTACAACACAAATATAAAAATACTAGGAAAATAATTTTATTTTACTTTAGGGATTCTTGTAAATGAAATTATTTAATGGGCTCAATTGTATTATTTTTTATACATTTCAACAAATGTAATACTACAATAGATTAATTAATTACATGTAAGTTAAGCGCAGGCCACACCGCGAACGAAATTAAGCTAGCTTAACTCGCGTAGTTGCAAGCAAAGTTAAGCTAAGAAAATAGTAAGCAGTGACGTACTACACCATAGTTTCCGAAAGTGGTCCCTTCCGCCCCCCAGTGGGCACTAAAGCGTCAGAGGGGTGTAGGGGCCTTGTAAGCACTTTGGGGGCGTTGATGTTGCCCAAAAGGCGCCTCCGCATTTGAAAAAAAAACTGAATTATCTATACAACGTGTTGATTTGCATTCTCGCCATATTTACAATGGTCACTCTATATCCGAAACTGAACCCAAATCACTAAAAAAATAAATCCAAAAAAAAATTTCCTAAATTCTTATTAACCATGTTACCGCTTAGTAACCCATGCTTGATGCAAAGGTCATTGACTTACACTACACGTGCCACAGGTACCGGCAACCATTTGGACAATGACCTATGTGCAGAAAATATGCATTTTAGATCTATTTGGTGGTAGCTTAGGGACGGGGGGAGTATCGTATCGAGCGCGTGGTTACTATCAACTTTTCCAACTAATGTAAATAATTAGTAAATTGTAACAATACCATACAGTAACAGGACATAAACTTAAATTAGAAAATAGGTAAATAAGTCATCGAGAAAAATTACGTATCGCTCGGTGAAGCGAGTGGCGGGGTCACTGTCCTCCGCGGTGAATACACTTGGGGACAATTTTACAAAACTTTACTAGATACAATTAGCCAGAATATTGAACAGAATATTTTTTCTTATATTTTTAGATGATTTAGCATTATTTCTATTATTAATTTCTTAAATATGGCGAGAATGCAAATCAACACACTGTATACAAATATATTTTCTTTCCTTCTCATTTTTTGTGTTAAGTTAACATCGAAGGGCCGAGTCCGGCTACCGGACACTCACGTTGCGTCACACGTCGCAGACAATACATGTAAATAATAATTTGTCATAAGTATTTTATTGTATTATGTATGTTAGTCTTTAAGGAATGTATTTATGGGTCTTAGTAACCTGAATACAAATAATTAAATAAATAAAATAAAAAATGCGTTCAATTATTTTTTGTGGTGGGTGGCGTTGAAATGTTTTTATCTTGACTAAGTGGACAGTGATGTGCTACACTATGGATACGGGCGGGGGCGACATATTTTACATAGCTTAGCGGGATCGTTGGGTTAGTTTAGTTAGCTTCTTTCGCGGTGTGGCGTCCGTTTTAATAGGCACTGACCAAAATACGGGTGTTTTGGTAGTGCCTTGAAGTCAATTTTGGTGCCCTGGTACTCATTGTGTAGTAGGGTATTCCTAAGGGCTCGTGTAGCGTGCCGGCGACATTTCACGAGTGCGGTCGCACCGACTCGCTGCGAATTGTTTTAACATGTAGAACTAAATGGCTTAGAACAGCGTGTCCGCGAAAGATGAACATTGGTCGTGAGACTTGCAGCGATCAGTCTACGCAAGTCGCTTGCGACCACTACTAGTTGATCAGTTAATGTTCCCAGTATTATTAAATAATTATATAAGAAATTAAAATTATAATAGTGGACCCAGATAGGTTAATTGACGAATGTTAAATCTCCTTGTCCTTCCTGTGGCACGGACCCGTAGATACGATAATTATTCGAAAATTCACTAAGCCGATCGCCGGTAGTGTTATGTCGCTAGTCGCCCGCATGCTGCACTGTATTTCGTCGTTAGAAGTCGTTGCAACCGCAGTCGCGACATATCGCCGGTACGCTGCACGAGCCCTTAGTTTGAGACCAAGCAATGATCTTATGTACAAAAAAAATGGGACCAAGTAAATTAACGTGGACGTTTGGCACATTATTATTATATAAATTAAGGAACTAATTTTACGATCAGCAAAATCTACGCATTACAAGGTTACTCGAATTATAATATAAATGACACCGCCTATGAGCCGCAAAGGCCAAAATCACAAGCCTTTGTAAAATGCTTATTTCATATACTAAAAGCAAAAATATACATGATTATGCCTGGCATGCCTGTTACTTCTAGCGACATTCGTCAAAAGACTAATAGCTAAGATTACTTTTACATCTGCTGCAAGCGTAAAAGTGTGCCAGGTACAGACATTAACATTTTGCCCACAAGGTATTTGAAGTAAAACAAATGACAATAGGAGATTCAGGAATTCCTGAAAATGTTCTAACGAATATATCAGAACTGGAGATTAGACAGATTACTACTAATTACTATTAATTTCATCTTTTATTGCATAGTATTATTAGGAATTACTATTGGGTACTTTTCCGAAAAAAATCAAATAGTGGAAATTTGTGGAAAAAATCTGATAAATTTGAAAATTTGGTCAAATATAATTCGAAGACTCGTAATATTATGTTCTACGTTTAGATTTATTTATATCTCTTGAAGTTTTTTTAGCGTGAGTAATTCATGTTCAAAATAAAATTGTCTATAAGCAAATTAGAGTAAAACGTGGTTTAAAATTATTGTAATTATATGTAAAAAATCTTTCTTCATCATTTCGTTCAGCACTTTCAACTTTGACAGGTGTCATCTGTAGAAAAAAAAAGGTATACGGAAAAACATTTTTCTGAAAAATATGATTTTTTCAAAATAGTTCCTTATCCCAACACTAAACATTATTATTATGTGGTCTGTGATTATTATAGTGGTGTAATATGATGATAGAAGACAATATTGTCATTACGTTAATGAAATATGTAAAAGAAAACAAATATATTTTACTTGAATTATATTTCTTTATTTAACTGTCTTGGATTTTTATTTGCCTGATTATACTATTTATTATCTACTGCTATGTATAACTTGCGCGGCAAATACTTCTTTTTGAACAGATAGAACTCTTTTTTTTTTACGTAGCAAACCTGTATTTATTACTTATTTTAATGGTCTAGTATTAGTAGCTTTTAAATGTGGAACTCATATAAAATGATAGACATTTAGGGCGCCTTCAAATTAAAAGTGATGGCGCGTTTGACGCTGCAACTGCGCTTCTAAATATTGTATGAAAATTCGTAAAAGTGCTGCAGCG